ACATGCTTGTTATTTCATTATATATAGGCCTATATATATATATATATATATACATATATATAAATATATATTTATATACAAATATATATATATACTGGCAGCAGCGCCCCGTAAACTTATATAACCCTTTGCGGCAGAAGATAGTCGCGCGGAAAAAAACGTCGGCTCACATGTCGCCGGCAGCGCTCACACACACACGGCTGCTGCGAGCGCGGCCGCGGTACATGCGCGCGCGCTGCTTCGCCGCGTAGCATGTTTTATAACCGGAAAATTTTTCGTAGTCGGTAAAGATCAAAGACGCGCTGCCGGTGCCTGCGTCTTGTCTCGTCGTCCGTGGGACATCCCACCGCCGCCCCGCGCTACAAGCTTACATCATCGCTCTCACGAGCCGCAGACGCGTTGCACAATGCGTGAGCGCACTCGGGCGACAGTGCTCGCCGTGGCCACGTGCACCGCTGCCCGGGTGTTAAGTAACTCCGTAGCTCCTCTAACTCTCCACACGAGTGACCTCTGCGAGAGTGAAATCAATCAGGTCTGCTCAGACGGCTCTAGACCGAACACGTACTACTACGATATATATGGAGGGGGCCAAACAGAACTACGACATATAGGGTGGGACCGTGGGGGCGAGCAGAACTACGACATATGGGGGGAGGAGGGCGAGCAGATCTACGACATATGGGCGGGTGCGAGCAGGACCATTGCGTGACCTATACATTAATTATCCCTGCTAGAAAACACGCACGAAATCATCAACAGATAAGTGTAACGTTGCGCAATTGCGTGCAGCTCTGTGTCTCTGTTTACCCCATCCTGTCTGGGAAACGACATGTAGAAAGAAGATGATAAGAGCAGCATAGAGAGATGCAAACGATAGAGATAGATAGTTGCTAAACACGCAGAGGAAGAAAGAGACGGCACGAGAAAGAGAGGCGCGAACAAAAGAGATGGTACAAGCAAAAGTTAAGAAAGAATATTTATATGAAAGGAGAGCCGGTAGACACGAACGTCAGATAAGGGGCAGGAGATAGAACGTCACGTAATTGCATTTTGTGCGCATGCGCAATCGAATACCACCATCGACGCAGCTGCACGCCGATCGTTCCACGCAGTCATTATTTTAGCGCATTATGTGGTTTAAATATTAAAATTACTGTGTATATAGACAGCCGGTTATGCTATCGCAATCAGGCATATATGCAGAAGATCGGCGAGATGAAAGCCAACCATAATTGTGGACTAAAAAAAAGCTTAATAATTGCAGATTTGCAACACATAACGACCGTGTCGACCTTGACTGGCTCAATACGTACATGCCGCCTTAAACCTATAGTGCTACATGCGAGACCACCAGAAAGCAAACAGTCAATTTGCCGAAAATGTAAATCTGTGCCCAGCCATCTTAAAAAGGTCTTTAGTGTGAGGTAAGTGGCGGCCGTGAATAAATATTGTAGGTGGTCTTTTTTTAATCCGAAACGCAACCCGTCGGTCCGCTCCTGTGTGTCCGTGTCGGTCAATCTAATACGAATCGCACACAAGCGCATCCTAACCTCTCACTGCATGGGAAGAACTGGCTCGAGCAGAAAAAAATATTAGATTTTCCGGCCGCCGTTCGAAACATGAATGGCCCTTAGATTCGCAGTTTCACGTTTACATGCGCTGCCGGCTACGCGAGCGTGGTCAGGTGGCGGCCAGAGCGTATGGCCGTGCGTGGGCCGCTATTTGCCCGGCCGTGGGTGGTCAAGTGCGTGCACGAAGTTTCGATTTCAACAACTGACCATGTGCGGCTCATATGCGAAGCGAGACTAAGGATTCTCTGGTAAGTATAATTAGCTCACACTCGCGCTTGCAATTTGCAAGAGAGAGAGAGAGATGAGGAGAGAGAGAGTAGAGAGAGAGAGAGAGGCGAGAGAGGAGAGTAAAGGAGGCGAAAGAAGAGAGAAGAGAAGAGACGAGAGAGAAGAGAGAGAGACGAGAGAGAGAGAGGAGGAGGGGAAGAGAGAGAGAGAGAGAGAGAGAGAGAGAGAGAAGAGAGAGCAGAGAGAGAGAGAGAGGAGAGAGCAGAGGAGTGAGCAGAGAGAGAGAGAGAGAAAGAGGGGAAGGAAAAAGAAGGAAAGAGAGAGAGAGATGAGAGAGAGAGAGAGGAAAGAGAGAGCAGAGGAGAGAGGGGGGGGGCCGCGCGCGCGGCGGGGGGAGGGAGGGAGAGAACTGCTAATCTTTCGGCTTCTTAGTCGTTAAATTAAGTGCCTCATCGACAGACGAGCAGCGTTGCCAACACACAGCACACACACACAAAGGCACACACACACAGCACCACAACACT